AGGCATGTTAAAAGTCCACCTACCAGGACTCTCATACTTTACCATAGACTTGGCTGGAGACAGAACACTTCCTCTGGGTAAAACAGGGGATGAGGTCAGGCGGGTTCTGGGGCTCATTATTGTAGGGTCTCTGGTCCTCATTCCAGGCCTGGTTCTAAAAGGAGCCTTGAACCTGCCCCCTTTGAGTAATTGAAAACCCAGATTTCAGCGGCCTACACAGTTAGCCACAGGAATGAAAAGAGAAAATGCCTTAAGTGACTTGCACTTAAGTGACTAGATAATGGAAGCTCTTATTAGCAGTCTCAAATGTTTCAATTGGCACAAATTCCAATAGAAATAACTATATTGCAGGAAGACTTTAAAGAATATGTTCTAGGAACGCGTTCCCAGTTCAGGTTCCTTTTTTTAATTCCTGAATTTCTTATGCTTTTGAGTTTGTATTTTATTGTTCTACCACACTTTAAAAATCTTCATTTGGGCATTGTAATTTAGTATTGAGACTTTCTGAGAAACAGTTGTACACTTTCTATCAACACACAAGTTCAGGTGCGCACTCTCATGTTGTCATTCCCACCCATTTCTATTGTCATGCCTCTTTGTGGGTATCAGAAAGCTTGTTTTTATTATAGATACTTTAACAATTCAACCTATCTGATTTTTTAGTTTTCATCTTGCATAAATCTCTGGGGAATTTAGCAATCCACATGTCATTGCTAAATTAGCAGAAACACCAAGAGATTAACTATGAAATTCTTACACTGTTTGGAAAAATTGGCGTTCTTAATTTCTCACTCTCTTCTGCAATACCACTTTTTGTTTCTTAATAAGTATAGAAACCCTATTGCATCTTTCCTGCCTGAAAAAATGAAGAAAATTGAAAGATGGGGGTGACACTAACGTAAATCTCAATTCTCTGGGGAGATTTTGACTTGTTATGTGGTATGTTTTTCTCGTTAGTTAAGATTAATAATGACCCAAGGAATCGGTTAATATTATGCTTGTGGCATAGCACCTTCCAAAAAATCTACCTCAAAATCCAAGAAAGGAAACATGGTGCTATATGGAAAGGAAGCCTGCCATTTTTTTTCTAACAGGATGATGGAAACTGTAGTTAAGTACCTCGTTTATTATAGCATTGATTCCTTTCCAAAAGATTAGTGTTCTCAGAAACTGCCTTACACACCACTGAAAGCAAAACCATTTCTGAACTGACACATAGCAGCCATCCCTCTCCAACAGTGTTTCATAAATTTGGTTGAGGAAAATGAAAGAAAAAGCCTTCAAATAGGATTTATTGCAAATAAAGCTTTTAGGAGGAAGAGAGATGCCAGCAGACATATGAAGAATATGAAGTTCATTGAAAGCTCTACCCTCTGGGTTTATTGCCGAAGGGCAGTGTGTGACATTACATTTTTGTTAAAGTGTTTGAAAGCATTTGTTAAATATTACTTTTATGTAGCCACCCTTTATAAGAAATTTTCTAACTAAAATTTATTCTTTTTAAATAAAAGAATATTTGCTAGCAAGATGCTTACCATTTGACTTATGCCCCCAGTCCATTTATCAGTTTTTTTAAAAATAGCTTTTGTTATTTTATTTATTAGTGTGTGTTGTATTGCTAGAGATCAAACCCAGGGCTCATACTTGCCTAAGCAAGTACTTAGCCACCGCAACCCAAATTTATCAGTTTTGACAAGGAGCTGTTTGTTTACTTTAGTCTTTCCTTCACTACCCTATGAGTAACTCAAATGTTCCCATTCTTCAGAGGAACAGTGAGACCAATTTTACCAAGAATGTTGGGCAATGTTTCCTTTTAAAGGTGCTGTAAACCTTTTCTTGTCAGAGGTTCTATTCTTCCAGCAATTTTTTAAAACCTTGCTGGAAATTAAACCCAAGGGCCTCATGCATTACTAGACAAGAATACTCTGCCATGGCCTATTCTTAAATTATTGATTTTTTTTTTTTTGTCTTTTAAAAAAAAGTACAGATGAAATTTTGCTTTTTTAAAAAGTAAGAAACAGAGCTTTTGGCACAAAGAAAGCCCATTCCTCTAAAATTTTACAAGTAGAATATCTTTTGCCCTTATTACTAGACAATTTTAGGTGAATATTTATGAGAAACCTGAGTAGGTTAGAGCAAATTGACATACTCATTGTCTTTTACTGTCAGACTACCTAGAGGTGAGCAAGCATCTGTCTGATAAATATTGACGGTAAGCTGTGTTCTGCATAGTTTGATAGTGTTGTGTGCTCGTGGTGTGTGTGTGTTTGCGGGTGGGAGATGGCTGGAGTAGGCATTGTTGGAGTGAATAGAAGAAAGTCTTAAGAGAAAGAAAAGACATTAGAGGACTTGGCAAGTCTGCCTTCCCTAAAGACATTGATGGTATCCTCAGAAACTGGTCCAGCTGTGTTGGGAAAGGAACCCTATCCTAATAGAAGTAATAAGCTGTATTAAGGTTCATTCTTCTTTAAAGGAGCCAGAGGCTTCTGTCTTAGATCTTTACTATATTGGTGGTTACTAAGCAGTTGCTTGCTAAAAATTTTTCTTTACTCTTAAACAGAATAACAAATAAGTTTTATTAGCGTATTATTTTATTGTCCCGTCCTGCAGGACACATCAGCGTGGGTAGCGAACTAGAAGGGAAGAATGAAGGACAAGAGACACGAAGGAGACAGCAAGACAGGAAATCTGATCAAGCTGCAAAATTTTATTGTTCACACAGGGGTATTTATGTGCTGAGGGAGTGAGGGGTATGACGAGGTGCAGGCTGGTTGGCTGGTTCTCCTATAGACTTCTGATAGGTGCACGTTCGCGCCGCGGCAAGGTAAACTCCCGGAAGAAAGCAGGGACGGCGCCATGCTTGTGCTGGAGGTGACACAGGAGTTGGGACCAAACAACCGCAAAATGTTTCCAGGGGCAAGGTCAAGACAGAATGGCTCACAAAGGGAGCCTTGTCTCCGACATTTCCCCCTTATTTCTTATACAAACATGACCAGAATATGTCGGCTTATTGAGAGGGATGACAGAGGCCCAGTTCCTCAGGGTGAGATCATTTTTGCTTTGTAAGCAAGCGTCCTTGCTAAGTTCTCAAGAAGAATCTCCTCGGCATGTTTTTTGAGAGAGCGGATTTTTTAGGAGCATGCCAACCGCCATGCACCAGGGCATGTCATACAGAGGTCTTGGGTCTGGGGATCCTAGGATCCACCCTCCTGCAGTCTTACCTGCACCCTCGTTTAGAAAAGCCTTTATGATCACTCTCCCTGGGTGCTGGCCTCCCCCAAGCAGAGGGGCCCAGTGGAGGAGGGCCCAATGGGCGATGAGTGGTCAAGAATGTTATATAAGAAGAGGGGTGGCAGAGAGAAAATTTGGAAACCCAGATGGAGCATTTAGCGAGTTTCTATTGAAAGGAAGGTCTCAGGAGCACGGTCTTCCATATCCAGGCGATGATAATGGACCTGTATAGGCTTAGAGGCTAAGGTGTTAATTGTTCTTTAATGAATTGTATCAGCCTGTTTATAATGCAGGGCCTATGATCACAATTAAAAGTAGACCTAGCAAGGGGCCTAATAGTGGAAGAAGGTAGGGTAGAATTCCATTAAGCCCAGTCCAGAGGGGGTTTCAAATAGCTCCCTTCGTCTCTTTTCTAAATCTTCTTGAAAGCTGTTTAATTTTGGTGCTACTATGCCTGATTTATTGGCATAAAAGCAGCAGCTTTCCCCTAAGCCAGCAGATACCTCCCTGGTTGGCTGTTAGCAGATCTTAAGCCTCGCCTGTTCTGAAGGACCACTTCTGCCAGGGAGTCTATTTGGTCCTGTAAATCCTTAATGGTTCCAGATAGAGTTTTGTACATCATCTATAAGTTGTTGAGATAGGCGACGGTAAGAGTGTATAGCCGTGCCTAAGCCAGCTGTACCTGTGCCTATAGCTGCTGTTATTCCAAGGCTGGCAAGGAGCGGTAAGGCTTGTATTGCCCGTTTATGTCTTTTAATTAAGGTGTCTAAGCTAGGAATGGCAGAGGTTCATCTCCTGAGACAACAGTAATATCTGGGAGTAATAAGGCAACAACACAGCCACCAGTCCAATTTGCTGGAAGCCTGGGAAGGCTGAGTTTCCTCCACACAAAAAAACTGTACCGTTGGGGACAAAGAGCTGGGGTGGGTGAGGAATAATTTAGAACTGATGAGCAATTTCCAAAAGAACTAACCCCAACGTCAATATCATAAGAATTATTTTGCATCCTGCCTTGAAGGCATACTGTAGGTGCATCCATAGGCTGTACTTTAAAGGAAGTCCAGATTGGCAGGTATCCTGATTATTTATGGTGGAGTTAACAGGTATTGCCATGGGCAATTATTGCTCCTGTGGTCATGCAAAGCCAGCAATCCTTAGCAAGGGTGGGGTTGGAAGTGTTAACAAGGAGAAGGTACTTCCCAAAATATCTAATGTATTGGGATCTAAATCTGGAATCTGAGATTTAGGCAACATTAAGGGGTGATACGTGAGTTCGGGATTTGGGGTTTTAAAAGCTCGATATTTGAAGATGTTTGACAGCATCCGTGGGTCCTCCACCATCAGAGACCCCTGTAGGAGGCGGGAAGCCGTCTGCATAGCATTTTGCCCAATTTTAACAAGTTTTAAAGTACCATTATCAAAGGGTGCACTTTTGAGAATGTCATTAATCAAGTTCCAATAAGAAAAGGCGGTCACAGGGACCTTTCGGGGCCAAAAGATTCAAATAGTCTTTTAAACAGTCTCCGACCCGGAGCCATCTTTACCATCAATGGTTCCTTCGAGAGGGAAACCAAGGACATAATCTCCTATGTAACAAAAGAATAACTAAGTCTTTTTTCTTAACACGGCCCCTCGTGTCTTGAGGGCCTCCTTGAGGCCTGAAAGAAACAAATCATTGTGACGACACGCTTGTCCCATGGTGGGTCACTCACCGTTCGCCGTCCTCACTCTCCTCCTGGATCTGTCTCTCGGTTGCGTTTGCCGAGGCGATGCGAACTCTGCTTGGCGCCAAGCCTTCCCGGAGGACGGTGTTCTCCCCGCAATCAAAGGAATAGCTACAGCACGTTGGCGCCAGATGTCCCGTCCTGCAGGACACTCAGCGTGGGTAGCGAATCTAGAAGGGGAAGAATGAAGGGACAAGAGACACGAAGGAGACAGCAAGACAGGAGAGTTCTGATCAAGCTGCAAAATTTTATTGTTCACCAGGGGTATTTATGTGCTGAGGGAGTGAGGGGTACAATGAGGTGCAGGCTGGTTGCTGGTTCTGCTATAGGAACTTTCTGATAGGGTGCACGTTTGCGCCTGGGGCAAGGTTAAACTCCCGGAAGAGAAGCAGGGACGGCGCCATCTGTGCTGAGGATGGAGAAGTTGGGACAAACAACCGCAAAATGTTCCAGGGCAAGGTCAAAGACAGAATGGCTCACAAAGGGAGCCTTGTCTCCGACAATGATTGAAATGTTCTTAGTATAATTTAAAAGAATTTACAAAACATCCTGTGGTTTCTGGTAACATTATATGACACATTTATGGGTTAAAAATTGATATAATGCTCTGGGATTTATTTTTTAAATATGACCAGAAAAAAAATATGAGCCAAGAGACCAGACGGAACACGATTTGGCCAAAAAATGTTGATCCATTTGAAGTTGAGTAAAGGCTTATTCTTTACTTGTTCTACTTTTGAATTTGTTAAATTTCTGTAATTAAGGGATTTAAAATAAAAGTTTCAAAGAAGGAAATGTTGGTGCCAATGCGCTCACACCTATAATCCTGCTAACTTGGGAGCTGAAGATAGGGCAGGATTGTGGCTTTCCAATGCCAGCCCATGCAAAAAGTTTGCAGAGACCCCATCTCCAAAACTAAACTGAGCAAAAATGGACAAGAATGGGCTCAAGCCTGCTTTGCAAGTGTTGAAGTCTTGATTCCAAACCCCAACCCCATCAAAAATAAATAAAAAAGAGAATATTTATTTTTTGTCCACTATATATCAGTGTATTGGAGATTACTTATGCAAAGATGGAATTGAGTATGCGAACCAATTATTTAATAGCAGCACTGAAAAACCCTTTCACATTTTGAGATAAGCAGATACAGGTGTATACCTGATTATATAAAATTAGGGAAAGTTATATTAAATTATATCAATAGTTTTTATCTCTAAAAATACCTATATTTGTAAATATATCATTCATTGGAAGGCAATTTGAAAGCACAAACCAATGACCACAGCAACAATTTCAGTTGTGACCTAACAAATGTAGCATGAATTTGTTTGTTTTTGTTTTCGAAGGAAAAAAACTTTTAAAATACATAAGTTTAATCCCTCTCATTTATTTCCTGGAAAACCTAACGACAAGTTTCTGGTCATATCATGGTGCTTTCTGGGAACTGAGTGTATTTCTCTAATTGTTAATCAGTTTTAGGGGGATTATACTATACATATATATATATATTTGAGGCTTGGAGTGGTTGCCATGCATGCCATGATTTCTTCTTTTTGGGATGCGGAGCAAAGTGATGACAAACCAGGGGTTGGGTAGGGTCATTAGAGCACTACTTTATTCCATCACAAAATTCAAGTGCTGACCCTTCCCACTGGAAGGGTAAAGATCCTTTTTCTCCCTAAGCCCCAGACTCTTTGTATGGAGTCTCTAGGGTCTTTTGTATAGTTTCCAGAGTCAGCATTACTTCCTTTGTAAACAATGGATGTCTGTTCCTTTTGGGAATGGGAGCAACAGGAGTCACTTGGGGATTGGTCGGCAGTACTTTTTTCCTGACAATGAACCCTTGTGCCATCCCCTGGCACATACTAGTGTACCACAGTATAGTTACCATTCCAGCCCAAACAATTAAATTTTGCTAAACTTGTTGGACATTTTGTCCTCTTTACAGTTTTCATTGCTTTATTTTTCATGACACGAGAATTGTTGATGCAATTATCACTGAGCTTTCTGACAAAGGGAAATACTGAGGAATTTTGATGAGTTACCCCACTTCATTAATCAGAACAGCATCTCTAGTGACAGGGTAGAATTACAATGAAGATTAGATAAGCAAATTGCTGTTTACCACCTAACAGTCAATCATGGCAGTGACAGCAGTGTGATTACATTTTCAGGAAAGAGCTTTTACTGCCAATAGAATGAGGCAACTCCAGGCAGGTAATAAATTTAGCAGGGTGATGCTGTCATTTCTTTCTCTGAGTGGAATTCTTTAAAAAACAAATGATGTCTTGTGGAAGGTTTTTAGGGGAGGAAAAGCATTCACTTAAAACTTAAATGTTGTAATTTCTTTATTAGGAAAATTATATTAATATGTACTTAGGAATACTTATCCCCACAGTTGATTTTCTGTAATTCACTTACCTGTATCAAGCTTTAGTTTATTACTATAAACTATGATAAAGAGATGGTAGAAGTTAGTAAAAGAAATCATGACTATATTTGAAACCTGCTTTGAACTTAAAAAAACCTGGTGTTAGAAAACCAAATGAAGTGGGAAAGAAATGGGAAGATGTCAGAATCATTACCTGGCTATTTAAAAACTTTAGTTCTTCCTTGGCTTACTCAGAATAACATTCCTTCTTCCAACCCAGTTCGCTTTTAAATAACAGTTCTTGTTTTCAAGAGGGCAAACTGATAGAGCACATTCTAGTTTCAGAGTTGTAGAAACTGGTCAGGAGAAGCAGTTCTGGGAGAATCGAGGAAGGGAGGAAGAGAAAGAATAAATGGTTGAGTCTGTGGAAATATGTCCACTTCTTGTCCCTTTCTTAAATAAAAACGTAGGAGAAAGGACTGAGAATAAATATATTCCTTTCCCAGTATTTTTTCCAAGCACATTTATTGGATTTCTTGTTAAGGTTTGTTTATAAAAATCAAAAATTAACTAAGTAGCTACCTTAATTTCATAACTTTTTTAATTTTAATTAAAATGAGACTTTGATTTTTGAAAACAGGCAGAAAAAAACCCAATAACCAGTCAATCTCAAAAAGCAGTTGGCTCTGTGAGTCTTCACTTTGCTGCTGTTAACTTTCTCTGTAGTGAACTAAACCTTTTAATCCAATCATTTGCCTCTCAAAAGTCTCAATTGAAGTTGGGGTTTTTTAAAAAATTTTATTTTGTTTGGCGTTTTTTGTTGTTGTTGTTTTGCGAAGTACTGGGTATTGAACCCTGCGCGTCTCACACAAAGCTCAGTTAAGCCATGCCCACGGCCCTATTATTTTTATATTTTGTTTTTGAGATAGGGTCTGTTAACTTTGCCCAGATGGCCTTATCTTCCCTGCTTCCACCTTTCCAAAGTAGCTGGGTTTGGGCACGTATTGCCAACACGCCCGCTACACTAAACTTCTTTACTTTCTTTTGACAATGGCACCACATTTAAAACATCATTGTTAAATGCTGTTAGTTAGTGAGGATAGATAAATAATAGTTACAAAAAAAGCATATTTCCCTCAACCTGGTAAGCTGTGTGTCTTTCTTGTTATGACAAAGCATAGCCTGTATTTAGGCAAATTTCCCTCCTTCGTCCTTTCCTTCCTCCCTCCCCCCTTTCCTCCATCCTTTTTTCTCTCCCCCCTTTTCTTCCATTCCTCTTCTTTCCTTCCTTCCTTTCTTTTCTTCCTTCCTTTCTTTCAAGGAATCTTAAAGTAAAAGTTATGGAAAAATGTAACCCTCATTTGAAGTAGTGGAAAATGGAACAAAGACTTTTTTTTAAATCTGCCATGGTCTCTCCCATGAGGAATTATAAACACACATGTAGTTTTTTCTAAATAGGGAATATAACTTGGATATCCTGTAGAAAAATAATTTTGGCCCATAATAGTATATTTCTAAAAAATTCTAGAATATGTTCTTTATCTTAATTGTCTTATTTTCTATATTCATCTCTCCCTATTAACTTTCTCAAAAGAGATGTTATATCTTACACAATCTTGAGTTAGAGTTCCCAAATTCAAACATAGTGGTGGGGTGCTTAGTATAAGTTTGAAAACAATGGACAGTAGTATTTACACATAAGGAAGCAGTAAATAGGGCCTGACCTTGCTAAAACCTTTGAAGCCCACCATTCCCATAAAGTCACTTGCAGTAAGGTATACTTCTATAAGTAAACCACTCAGAATTTCACTTCCTCAGATTGCCATTCCTATATATGGTCCTTATTCGCTCCCTCAGGAAGGTATAGTCTAGTGGCGAATTAGCAAACCTGTTATTATCAATATGGTGTAATAAATGTTTTCATTGAAAGAAACATATTGCTTTGGGAATAGTTGAGGTTGGTAATAGAGGGATTCTTGAAAGAACTGACTCCTGAAGTTACTTGGGTGGCAGGGAGAGAAAATAAAGGACCAAATTAGTTGTGAATACAGAAAAGTATGAAGTAGTAATGGTTGGTGATAGTCAAGAGTGTTCAAATAGATTATCTAGAAGAATACAAAGTTTGCTGTGGAGATAGAAGACGTTGTTTCAAGGACTAAGTTTCAGTGATTTTTCTTAGACTTAGGACATAGCTAAAGTACTATCGGTACACCCTTACGGGTTCAAAGACCTCGTCTATTTTGCTGTCAGCTGCATATGGTAGACAGTTACAGGCACCCTAATGTTCTTGTCTCTCTAGCCCTCCTCAGAAAGCCCTGATGTGGTTACTGGTAGCCCAGCTAAAATTTTATTGTTTTGGGGCTGCCTTGTTTCTCAGGAACAAGAGGCCCTGAATCAATTCCTCCTGTTATTTCCCATGTTCAGTTGTATAGACAATCAGTGCTGTTAGTAATAGGAAACTAATTAATGGTTGGCATTTAAGCTCCAAGACAGCTGGTAGGGCAGGTCATGTTGGAAGGCAGATCATTTCTCTTTTTTTTTTTTTTTTTGAGACTGATGATTCCTTAATTTAAAAATGTAAGTAGAAGCAGAACTACAGTATCCATAGAATATTTATTCTGAAATTAGTTGGTATGCCAATTAAGATAAAAAAAAAAAAATCAGACTGAGACTAGCATTTCATTTATTCTGAGTTTTTGCTTAAGCTTAACAGATATCATATTAATGTAAGATTTTTTCCAAATCCACCACCATAGGAGGGGGTTAGGGTAAAAGGAAGGAAAACTAAGATTGGAATATCTGATATACTTCTCTATACAAGAATGGAATATAGAAATCTTAAACCCACTGAAACCACCATAAGAAAGGGACTAATGTGAAGGAAGAAAATTAGAGGAAGAAAAATCAGTTGGGGTTACAATACATATATACATGGAACTATCACCAAGGAAACTCCGAGTAGCTTACCTGTATCTCAAAACAGCAAAAATATCATTGTTTTTCTTTTTATCTTTTCCCTTTTTCCTCTACATAAATTGGAGAACAGCGAGTGGAAAGCGTCCTGCCAAGAGAAGGGGATTGCGGCAGAGTGGATTTGGCTCCAGGGGAAGGTTGGCAGAAAAGCAGTTTAAGAGGGTGAATTTATGTTGCAAAAAATGTGTTATATGTTAAATGGAAAATGATTACTTGTTGAAAAACTTATTCCAGGAATTATTGGGGGGGCGGTTAAAGCTAGAGCAGTGAATCAGGTGAATTCAAGGTTAGATATATTTGGATACATTGTAAGAATCTTTGTACAATGCCATAATGCCATAATGTACCCCCACCCAGCACAACAATAAAGGCAAAAAAAAATATTTTCTCAAGTGAAAATATGATGTACAGAGAAGGAGTCAATGGAAGAAGTAAATAATTTTAAATCTATTAATTATAAAATACCAAACATTGAAGGTAAGCAGCAATTTTATTTTAAAATTTAAAATAATAAGACTTATTGAAAAGAAACTCTTTAAAAATACCAGAGACAAGATATTATGGGATACATTTGGCTAAAAACTGATTAAAATAAAATTAATCTATGCTGAAAATAATTATTAAGAAAAATTAATCTATTGCAGAAATAATTATTCTACCATATTTTGTTGCTTTTATTTTTCTTTACCAATTGATAGTCAATATATTAAGCTCTGCAATGATCAATTACTATCAGCCAGAACAAAATAAATGGAGTTTAAGAACAAAGAAAGTTAAATTTGCTTGGGACAAAATTAGGATTGGAAACCCAGAGAAAGGTCTTTCAAGCCTCTCAAGCAAGCCTCCTTTAGTTCCATGTCTGAGATCAATGACTTGTTACTCCAGCTTCCTATAGGAGTTAAGAATTTTAGTTTTAAGTTGTGAGGCTGAGAATGCTTCAGTTGCATTACTTGACTATTTCTCATCACTATAAGCATGGAAGAATTGTGGCTTTTTATTCTCTTTCATCAAGACTACAGTTTTCTAGATGGTTAGAAAAAAATGAGCAGAGGAAAAATCTGAGGAGAAGTCTCTCAAGTTACATAGTAGAATATAAGTACTGATTAATGATTTTTGAAATGGTTCCACTACAGTTGTCAAAAACGGCTATTCTCTGCATGCACAAGCTGATTTTTGATCATAGGATTAAGCTGGGGAAAGCTGGGACCCTGTCGGACTGGAAAGCTTCAACTGGAAGGTCCTACGAGCCTGACCGAGACTACACAAGATCACAGAAGTTAGAGCAGGAAAAGCAAGCCTTGGAAAAGAATTCTTAGAGAAGAAAAACAGGTACCAGAAAATTTATACCATGAAAATCCTTCTTAGGAGTGGTAAATCTTGGGGCATCTTCCTCCTGACAAACCAGAAATAAACTAAAAATGCTTGTGCACTAGAATCATCTTATCTGCTTAATAAAATTGGTAATCACTGTTCTTTCCAGTTACATCTTCAACTAGAAAAATTTTAGCTAAAAAATATGAGCAAACAAAATATTTTATTAAATTTATATTCATGTACCCAAACTTTTTTCTTTAATAGAAACAGTGTTAAGGCTTTCCTAAGGCCCAATGTACAGCATTGCACCTTGGACCATCTACAATTCAAAAGAGAGAGTTGCTTTCCATGCCAGTATTTTTCTCAAAATTGATAGAAATCACTGTCTGCTCATAGGAATGTTAACGGACACAGCACATCCATCTGGGAGGGCCGACCTGCCAAGAAATGATTCCTCCCACTCTGCTGTCTTCTGTTCCACACCTTATTTAGGAGGTTTTTTGACACTTTATTATCAAATCCCTCTTGGACATAGCACAAGTGTTAGACCACAGAATTTGTCTTTCAAATGAAGCTTTTCTTCTCCATATTTAAAAATTGTTCTACTTTTCACTTCCAAGTTTCAACCTTTGCATTTCCCGTTTTTTTTCTTTTGTTTGTTTTTGATTTTTTTGGTGATGCTATCTATGTATGAACCACAAGGCTTGCACATACTAAATACCACAGTCTTTACCAACTGGGCTGCGCACTGCAATTCCCCTGGCCCATCAAGCTTTGCATTCTAGAAATCAATATCACGGATGTAGAAGAAGCCATTTTGTTAATGTTTATGGGGTTGATCCATGGTCTTATGTGTAACCACTTCTCTTACTGGCAACTCTGTTTTAGTCATCAGGATGGAAAAATGAGTGAATGGTATGTGGAAGAGTTGTTAGTAGATAAGGGCATGGCACCCCCTGAAGCTGTGCAGCCCCATGACAGCAATCAGACCCTGGGAGTTATCACAGGAGACTGGGCAATATGGCTCCTTGTCCTCAAATAGAACTCAACAGTTGTAGGGGAAACAGATCTAGAGACAGTACAAGTGTACTAAGAGTGTTGTAAAACAAGAGTACATTCCTTTTGGCTGCCTGAGAAAATAGGGAAAGGAGTGTGCAGTGGCCGAGGAGTCTGCTTAAGAATGCTAGAGAAGGGGTTCATCAAGAGATGGGTCTTGATCGGCTCCACCTTGTAAACAAGATGTTTCTAGGTTGAGATGGGGAAATAGGGACAATGCATGGAATGTAAGGCCAGCTGGATTGACTGGAGACCATCAAGCAACTTGTGGCTGCGTCACATCCATCCAATTTCTGAAAGGGCTTTTAAATGCTAGTAGGACAAGGAGTTTAGGTTTTCTTTGGTAATTTGAAGATGAATTTTTGAAGTTTTAAAGCAATCAACTTCCCTTTTGTTTCCAGAAGAAACTCAGAACCTGTCATTGATATTAAGGAATTGGAATGATAACTTAACCTGAAAACTGAATGACAGGAGGATTTTTGTAAAAAAGAAGTAAAAACTGGAGGTGATAAAGGTAGAAGCAATGTGAGTAAACATATTAAAATTAAAAGTGACCTGTTGAGATTTACATACTAGACGAGATTATAGAAGAAAAATCTTGGAGGAATTTAGGATTACATTCCAATTAAACAGTTTAAACATTTAAAAGCACTAAATGGGGATTTCATTTAATAGAATGATGTACCAGTGTTTTTAAAAGATCTCAGAACTTTTCATCTTCATATCTGTGAATTTATTTTCACGTGTCTATTTTTAAATTTCAGAATGGGTATTAAATTAGCTGCCAGAGTTAGAAAATATTAACTTATAAAATATTTTAACTTTTTTTTTTCACTACCAAAGCTTTAGAACAAAAAAGATTCTAGAGTAGGGAAAACATTCTCATGCAATTGTCTTGATACAGGCCCTGAACTTAAAACAGATGGATAAAAGGGAGGACTCAGAGAGAGTAAGTGACTCTTCCAGTCACAAAGCTGAGAATGCGCTTCATCCAGGGACTAGAGCCTTGTTCTTTCTGAAGTTCAGTGCTTTTCCTATACCACACTACTCCTGCCTACCTACAAACACTCATGTTTTTCAAACTATATTTGACATTTACTTTAGGTTGTAACAGATTGAAAACTAAGTGTTGATTACAAATGACAAGGTCATCCAAGGAACACATGGGGAGAAAGGAGCTATTCCACACAGACTTTCCTTTGTGCTTGCTTTCTTCTCCCTGGCTTTTTGTGTTGTTTGTGCACTGACTAAAAATTGTTTTAGGAAATTAATTTTTGGGTAATTTTGCTTCAAAGACATTTGGAATATTAAAGTGAGAAAAAAGTTCAAGTAGAGCTGTGGTATTCGAGGTTGTCAGCAAAACTCAGCATCCTCTTCATGTGCTCATTAGGTTTTTCCATCAATAGTCACCAAATTATATATCTGGTTGAAAATAAGTTAGCCAGTGATGGTGAATGAAGAGCCCACAGTTGGCTTGTTTCTGTCTGGCAACTTACTTGATAAGGTTTCAAAGCATTCTTTTGCAGTATACAAAGATAGGAGAGCATTTTATTATAATATGTTGCTCAATTGTAGAAACTTAGCTCTTTACTGGATAGACAAAAACACAGGTGATCCTGCAAGCCCATGTTGTTGAAATCATTTGTTACGGTCTGTTACCATGTTTGTTAAACTGAGTCCTCATCCTCCGCTCCTTCCATTGGTTTTATCCTCTGGTGTCCCCTCACTGGAACCCTTCTACAGGCTTTTTTCTGTTCTTCTACTTTCTTTCTGAAGCAAAACAAATCCCTCTCTTCTTTTTTTCGCTTAATTTAGCAACCATCTTTTCTTTGTTGAGCCTGTGCTCAGAGAGTTTCTTCACCTCCACTCCCAAAGAATTTATCTTCTTATTTCTTCTAAAAAGGCATCTGCTTTCCCTAACAAGAATTGGGTCATTCTATTTTTATCCATCTCTGTTTCTTTTAAATGTCAGTTCATTGTAACTAATTGGTGCTACAAAAATTTCAATATGGTATCATAATATAAATTTCTTGTTTTTTTTTTTGTCAGTACTAGAAATTGTAACATGAAAGCCTCCTTTTGCTAGGCAAGGGTCTACGACTTGGCAGCCATGCCCCATCCTGGCCTTTATTTATTTCTTCAGATAGGGTCTAGCACTTTAGCCCAGACTGGGCTTAACCTTAATCCTCCTATCTCTACCTCCAATAGCTGGATTACACATTGTGTCCCACCACACCTGACTCAATAGCACAAGTTTCAAAAAATTAAACAAACATTTTCAAACCCTTAGGATAATTTACTTTTGACTACAACAAAATTCTAGTACTCACCTTTGACATACTGGTATGACATTTAACTGTATTATCAGGTTTCCTTAGCATGTTCATTTTGCAAGTTGGTTCCAGATCTTTTTATTCCCTCTCTTTCCCTTCCTCCCTGCAATTTACTAGCCCAGACCTAGACAAATCTTGTGAAGAAGCAAGGTTTGTTTTCAGGGGGGCATCCATCTGTCAGCCCCTTCTTGAGCCCTGGCTGGTTCTGTTGTCCCAGTTCTTTTCCAGGAAGCACCTCTGCTCCTCCCCTGTATGAGCCTCCAAGTATCGTTCAACCCTGCCTTTTTCTTGCCACCAGGGCTGTGGGCCTTCCTGAACATGCTTTATCTCTTCCCTTTTCCCTTGAATCGTTTACTTTGGTTCTTAATCCTCTATTGTCAGATATTCATTTCCTAGCACTCCTGATTTCAGCCTTATTGGTTTCATCAATGTAGAGTGCTCTGTTTAGTCATGTTCAATTGTGCTCTATTTTCCCTCTGTGCTCACCTGGGTACCCAGGTGAGTGGCCAGAAGCCGCATGGCATCTGCAGCTGACAACTCCTGACAGATCTATCAGACAAGGCAGGAGGGACCAGACTTGGGTTTCCCGGCTTGCTTTAAAAACTCTAAGACAAAATTGTCTTATCTTCACTTTTCCCTTGGGGGCTACCTAGTGCATTATGAATGCATTAGCTTACTCATTCCTATTCCTTGCGAACCTGGCTTTATCCCAAATGCGCTGTTTCTGTACTGCTTTTTTAGTGTTTTTGCATTCAGATCAGCACTCTGTTAGATCACTGGTTGGTATTGTTGGTTATTCTCATTTCCCATTCCCTTTTTTTAAAAATTCAAGACACTTTTTAGGATGTTTCAGTTAGGTCTCATTGTAGATAGAGGTTTTATTACCTTACATGTGAATTTTGTTCTATAGTTTCAGATTTTTAAAATAATAGATCTCAAAAAAACAAAAAGACCTTGTACGATAGGAAGTGTAGGACTCTCAAACCACTTGCTGCATGTCTCAGATCTGATTGGTGTGCTTCTGACTTTCTCAGTTCTAGGTTATTGGCATCCCTCACTTAAAACAGCCTTTGAGGAGGTTTGATCCTGGCGGCCTCAGTTCATACTTAAATATCCATGTAAATCTTTTGTATTTTATGCTCTTTAAGGTCTGCAGAGACAGGCCATTCTGTGCATGTAGTTACCATAATTGTTGATCATCAATATATACTCTTGCTAGAAATGTTTCTTGATTTTAGCTTGCCAAACATATTGTGCAGGCTGTTTTCCATAAGGGAACTCTCCCTTTATTTTAGGTTTAATTCTGAGAACTGTGTCTAAAGCTATTTCTTTAAGGTGAATTTATCTAAGTAAATTATATCTGACTGACGAGTGAATTTTTTTCCTTCATAAATATTTGTGTTTTGAGTTCATCTTTTTAAAAGTGGTAGAAATTGGCTTAAGTGGGACATTGTCACTCCTCCACTGAAATAAACTGCAAGGAAGCAGGAATGGAGCCAGGTTGACTCCTGGTCTCCAACTGCTTTCTTCCTTGCTTCTGCCTTCCCACCTCGGCCACAAAATACAGTTATTTCTGACTACATTTCAAACCTTCTATATGTACCAGTATGGCAGTGGGCTCTTAAGCATTCTTACGTGAGTATGATTTTTTAAAATAATTTTGCGTTTACTTTTTCAGTCTTCTTGTAATTATAAAAATGTTTTTTTCTTTGCCTTTTTATAGTTATCCAAATTAATTCTCTCTGAAGTCAAAACCCCAGTGCTACTTTTGGACTGTTCATGCTGTTAAAAACATGAAGTAAACCACATCAGTAAATTTCACACTTCATCCTTCCTAGCTGATGATGTTAAATGAAATTTCACATTAATTGGACAGAGCACACATACATCTTTCTGTCCTGTGGAAACTGTGATTTTTACTCACTGAGAAAGTATTACAGGGTTTTTGTTTTTTTCCTTATTTATCAGTGGATTATTTTTTAGAGCTTTGTTCTTAACCTGCACTGCTACCTAATTTACTCTTTTTTATTTCTTTCCCAATTTTTTATTTTCAAGGTTTACTCAAGTTATTATACTCATTTAATTTCCACTAAAATTTAAAATGTTATATATAAACAAAAACACTTATTAGCACTTAGAGTATTACCTTCATTACAAAAAAACCCATCAAGTATTATCTGAGTTACAATTGCATTTTATAAAGATCAATTTAAATTGTAATGAAATGCGCTGTTGGGCAGTATGTCTTAATCCCTGTTTTCTGCTGCTATAATGGAATACCATGAACTAGATAACTTATAAACAAATAGAAGTTTATTTTAGGTCATGTTTCTGGAGGTGGGAGGTTCGAGAGTGGGTACTGCCATCTGACAAGGGCGCATTCTTTGAGGGTGGGAGGAGGAAGGGTGGTCGGGGAGTGCTGTCATACCATGGCAAAGGGCAAATAAGCACACATAAGGGCAATGGGGAAATTAGACCAAACCTCATTCTTTTTTATTGGGAAATCCAGTCCTGAGATAACAGTATTAATTATCTATTCATGGAGAGCCCTCATGGCCTAATTAACCTTTTTTTTTTCATTCAGGTAAGTACTCTTAACACTGAGCTACACCCCAGCCACTAATTACCTTTTAAGGGCCCACTTCTTTTAGATGTTAACAATAGGGATTAAAATTTCAAACATTAGTTTTGGAGAGTGCATTTTCAAACCACAGCAGCAGAGTTGCCATTCTTAAGGAAATATAGGACTATATTTAGAACAGAAATATTAGAGTATCTCTCTGGTAATAAGGGTGCCAACTACTTGGTGAAACTTTATTTTCAGTTATGTATTGCTTTTGGTTCCATACACACAGTAAACTTGTATATTGAGTCAAGTTGGCCAGTCAAAAGAGGTTAAAAGTCACGTAAGCCTTATTTAGAACTGGAAGAAATGTTCTGATTTCACTGACCTATGGAACCCTTTATGGTTTTTGTTTTGGTTTTTTTTTTGGGTACTGGAGTTTGGACTCAGATATTCCCACTTGCTAGGCATACACCTCTACCACATACCAGTCACTTGGCCAGCCCAAGTTTATAATTTTCTTGACATTTGATCCCAAGGAATGCATGAGGAAAAGTTAAAGCATTTAATATATGTTTAACAGAAATGCGTTATGAATAGTGTTTTTTTTTTTTTTGGTGGGCCGGAAAAAACGATATACCAGTCACTTTTACAAGGTAAAATCAAGTAGGCATTCAAAATAATGTTAGATTTTCAAACCTCCAGAATTGATTTTGATAGACATAATAATTCCAAGCCTTCACTGAGATAATAACTTATCCTATCAATAAGCATCTCAGCAATCTATCTCTGATAATCTCAGAGAACCTCTATGCCTTAAATTCTCACTGCTCTTCCCACCCACCGTGTCTCCTAATGAAGGAAAGGCACTGCTCTCCAAGATTTATAAACTTTCCAGGATCCAAAGGAGTTTTTCCTTAGGAGGAGGTCAATGATGAATGCATTCCATGAATCAAAAGTGCCCTGGCCCTTTGCCTTCACATGTCTGGTTTTAGTCAAGTAGTTGTGTTCACAAGACAGTCATTTATTCATTCAGGGCGTTTGGTAAAAGAGTCCTTCTCTTTTTGGTGATCCTTTCCCTGACCAAGGCATTTCTTTTATAAGTCTACCTCAGAGTTCGACTTGGACTTTTATACAAGGTGTTAAATATGACCTTCATTTTGTTAAGTGATTTAATTTTGTTTCCTTGCCTTTTCCTCCTAAACTGCCTTTCTTAGATGTCCACCCCATCTGAATCTTTCTTTCCATCATGCATTTTTCTTTCTAAAAAATAGTTATTAGATACCTATTTCTTTTTTGCTCCTTCCCCTCCAAAATCTCCAGAAACTATTTTATGCATGATAGTTCAAAAAGCTTTCATATTGTCTTCGTGACAGGATAGAACAAAACAGTCACTTTCTTGAAAGTAATGGTCTTGAGGTACTTTATGAGGAGACCCTTTGCCACTGGGGATGTATAAAGTGATTCCATTTACCTAAATATAAACAAAAAACCCAAAGTATGCGGGAGTTAAGATGGACTTCCCTTTGGTCTTGTGTTTTCATTTACATTATTAAGACACTGTTTATGGACTTTTATTTTAATCGGAAGTGCCTTATCACTTAGGAAACAAACATCTGCCACGAGTATAACTGGAAACAAAGTTCTCCGACGCACTTGCTTTGTGGAAAAATGCGGCCACTGGCATGGTACAGAGGTCCTAAAGAAAGGAGGCTGGCTCTATCAAAGGAGTATTACTAGGAAGAAAATGGATGAGCTGCTGAAGGCAGGCATCTTCTAGGGAACTGAAGTACCAGTGAGCTCAATTCGGGTATCCATCTACCTGAGGAGCAGCAGCCATGGTGGGCCCCCCAGTAGGAAATGGAGAGGGTAAATGTTCCCTTGTTTGATCTTCCTGCACTTTCATAGCCTTGGGTCAGATTGCCTTGTCTGGTCTATCTAAAGGTTAGGACTGCTACAGTGCACAAAGGTTACCTTTTAAGGCAGTGTTTATTTTCTTGAACTGAATCATCTCTTTTATATATCAATATATATATAATAAATATATAAATATATATATATCTTATAATCACATATATAAGCTGGGATAGTTAGATATAATATAAAGAGAGAGTTTTATAAATGCTAAGTTAAAAGGCTTTCTTAGAAAGAGATAAAAACCACTATTTACAACTCTTGAAACTCCTCTTAATTGATTCTCACACCATTTCCTTTCTTAAATGGTTTGTGACTTTATAAGTGGGGTTATTTAAAAATTTTTTTATTGCTCATGTGCTGGGTTGTGCCAAGTGTGTGGGGCGTAGCGAATTTATAAAAAGGGCAAAAAGAGGCGTGAATATGGTGTATAAAAATTGGAAACAAGATCTGTTGAAGCTATTCTAAGAAGGGGGTTGGGGAATAAAAGAGAATGATTGGAGGGGGTAAATTTAAGTATTATTGTTAAAGACTTATGTAAAATGTCACAATGTTACTCCCAGTACAACAATAATAAAAATAAATTTAAAAAATAAGTCATATGTTAATTTGTAGCAATTTTGGTAGAAGAAAATCACAAAGGTTAAAAAACATCTTCAGATAACCACATCTTGAGGTAACCACAAATAACATTGAAAATGTAACCATCTAGTCTTTATCAGGCATATGCAAAATTTATCTTTAGTTTAATTATTTTCTTTCTTCTTTTAAATTTCCCTTTAGTCAGCCATTGATGAAATCTCATCTGCCACAGTCAGGAAAAGGAAGCTTATGTTTGTTGGCTTTTCTTTTTAATATGAATGATTATTTTGTTTTCCTAAAAAGTTTTGACTTTCTGTGTTATTAAATATACTTTAGGAGTGTCAATCTCCACTGAAAGGCGTAATTCAAATTTCGGGCATGAGGCACCTGTATTTTTAAGATTTTGCGGTGTGAGCCTGACCTCTACCCCTAGTTAGCAACTGTCATTCATACCAACATTTTGTATGACTGATGACTTTCTATAATGAAACCATAAGCTAGGAATCTGTTTAAACTCATCTAAAATTGCTGGAATTTGAAGAGGGTTCCGAGCTTGCCACTATTTTAAGTAGTGCTCAGGGAACATTGTAATAGTTTAAATCCTATACATACCCATGGCTGTTTTTTTAGGATAAATATTTTCAAATTAGAATGCATGTTCTATTTTCTCCTTTTCTCTTCATTATTTGCATTCTTTGACTTACTAGTGAGGTTAAAACATTATATATTGGCTTATTAGATGGATATTAGAAAAAGACATAGGTGCAGTAAACTTGCCTCCATGTCCTTTGTCCATTTTTCTAATGTTAATACCCATATTTTTTTCTTATTTATAGGAGTCTATATGTTTTAAGATTATTGGTGCTTTTCTTATTCATTATGTTGCAATTGTTTTCCATTTTGCATTTGCCTTTTTGGTTCTTAGTTACCAGTGTTTGGTAATATTCACAGTTGTTTAATTTTCTAAAGTCAGTCCTATCAGTTTTATTTCCTTGATTGCATTGTCATGTTAGAAAGCCTTTTGGAAGAAAGATCCTCTATACTCTCCCCTCTACCTTCCTCATAATGCTGTTAAGTACTTAACTTAGACATTGTGAAATTTATAACTGACACTGAAGGGTCCCAGCCTTTGCTTTTTACCCTGATTGTTTGCTACCATAGGAGGCTGTTTTAGTTTAATTAGTCTCTCAGCCCAAAGGAGTATCATCGAGGCTGTTTACTGGGACTTATGTAACATTTTGGTCCCTTCCCCTAGGCAATTTATCTTACCCTTTAGTCTGCTAGATAATTTCTGTCTCCATTGAGACCCAGAAGAGACTTGTAACCTTAAGAAATAGCTGCATGGAAGCTTCTTTCCTTAAATAGTTCCATTATTATAATATTTAACAAAAAAGTCAGCACAAAATATGTTTTTACCTGTGAAAAACAGAGGAAAATTACTACATACATATTTTTAGGGCCTTAAGAAAAAAGCTTTCAAATCTCGAAATTCAAGACAAAAAGATTTTATCAAAAAGGATGATATCTTTAAAAGAAAAGACAAAAAGATCTTATTCCAAGTTGGCAGCTTAGAGGGAGGAAGCAGAAAGCGAGCCTCCTATAGTGAAATCTTGGAGAGACCTGGAGACACACTTTGCAGGCATAATCACCGAGAAGGCATAACTTTGACCCCTCCACACCTCCAGCCGGCGCAGAGAATCTCACTTCACGTTAAACGGAGAAACCAGGAGGGCCCCCGGCCGCCAGTCCCCGCCCAGATGGCTTGGGAAGACGGACCAGGTGAGCTTCAGTACCGCAGTACTCCCACAGACAAGCCTGGGCCAGAGCAGCATAGCCCCCTGGACAGACTGACCTCCACCCGGGAAAAAAAGAGAAACTGAGTAATAAGCAATAAGAACAATAAAGACACGGGAAAGAGGGTGGGGCGCCCTGAGCCTGAAGATTGGGGGAAGGGAATCCTTCCCGGACTGTAAATAAACAAGCGGGCGGCCGGAGAGCTCTGGGGAGGGGGGGGCGCACCCAGCAACCAGGAGGGGAAGCTTGTGAGAGTGGAGGAGGGAGGAAAACTCCACAGGAGAGGAGGGAAGACCCACTTCCCACGTGAACTGTAAACAAACATGGCGGCTGGCAGGAGCAGCAGCACGCCCAGTAAAAAGTGGCTGGTGGGAGGAAAACTCCACAGGAGAGGGGGAAGACCCACCTCCCACATGAACTGTAAATAAACACGCAGGCCTGACAACGGGTGCAGTGTCACCTTTCCCAGTGTGCTTGGAAAGGGGAAAGCTGTAGCAGAGGCTCCCGCACAGGAGAACTCTGAGCAAACAAAGCCTGGGCCAGGTGAGTGCTAAGCTCACCCCAGAGATCTGCATAAAAACGCCAGCAACAGCAGGCTGACAGCAGCAGGCAGGCAAGCCACAGCTGCAGATACCATTCTCAGAACTGTCTCCAGACTCTTTTTTTTCTTTTTCTCCCTACCTTTGATGAGAGAACAACCGAATTACACCTGCAAGCTGAAAAACTTACTGAAACTGTATTGCATTTGAACTTGGGACACTTGGTGGGTTTTTTTGTTGTGTGTGTGTGTGTGTGTAGTTTTGTTCTACTTTATGCATCCCCTTTGATGAGACAACTACAGAACAACATCTGAGGCACCATCTCCAGGATTGGAGACTGACGGACACCCAAATTATTAAGACTGAAACTTCATTGCATTTGAACTTGGAGTTTTTTGGTTTTTTTTTTTTAATTTTCTATTTTCATTTTATTTTAATTTTTTATATATAGATATTTCTTTCTATTTTTATTTTTATTTTTATTTTTTTTTATTTTGATTTTCAATCCTCTCTCTGTCTCTCTAATGTCTGTTCAGCTTACTGTATTAGTACACTAACACTCCCTGTTTATACCTTTGAAACTTCTTGTCTGATACCTTGTTCTGTTTTCTCCTCTTGTCTGTTATTTGTTTTCCCTTTTCTTTAACTTCTTGCTTTCCATCTCAGCTCACCCTTCCATTCTAAATATTACCATTGTTATTATTACAAGCTAGAAAATACTTAATTGCACACAGTACAGGGACAGTAACAACACCAAGACAATGACGGGAAGACAGAAAAAACAGGGAAACCAGTTTCCCCACAGCAAAAAATTAGTACAGGAACCAGAGGGGAATGAAGAAAACAGTACTCAGATCCAGACTCCAACAAAATGAAGATAAACTATGCCAAAGGACCCAATGAAGCCCACAAGAATAATTTAAAAGAAGACATACTACAGTACTCAATGAGAATTTTATAGAGATGATACTGGATAGGGTCAACCAAAATGTACAGGAGACACTCAAGAAATTCCAAACAACAAAAATAGAGAATTTGAAAAAGCAAAAGAAGAAATAAAGGAAACCATAGAAGCACTGTATAAACACCAAAGTGAAAGAGAGAAACAATGAATAAAGATAAATGAACTCAGGACAAAAATAGACAACATTAAAGAGGAAACAGCCAGGATATGGAAAACCTCAGAAAAAGAACGAAACAGAACTGCAAAACAAAACGGAAGGCCAATCCAGCAGAATAGAACAAACAGAAGACAGAATCTCAGAACTTGAAGATGAAATGGTAATTAAAGGAAAAACCGAAGAACTATTAATTAAACAACTCAAGACCTGTGAAAAGAAAATGCAAGAACTCACTGACTCCATCAAAAGACCAAACTTGAGAATCATGGGCATCGAAGAAGGAGAAGAGGTGCAAGCAAAGGGAATGCGTAATATATTCAACAAAATAATAACGGAAAATTTCCCAAATCTAGAGAAAGATATTCCCATACAGATGCAAGAGGCCTCCAGGACACCAAACAGACCAGATCAAAATAGAACTACCCACACATATCATCATTAAAACAACAAGTTCAGAAACTAAGGAAAGAATATTGAAGGCTGTAAGAGAGAAAAAACAAGTAACATACAAAGGTAAACCCATCAAAATCACAGCAGACTTCTCAACAGAAACATTAAAAGCAAGAAGAGCTGGGGTGAGATCTTCCGGGCACTGAATGAAAATAACTTCAACCCCAGGATACTCTACCCAGCAAACTATCATTCAAAATAGATGGAGCAATAAAAGTCTTCCATGATAAGCAGAAACTAAAACAATATGTGACCACAAAGCCACCACTACAAAAGATTCTCAAGGGATTCTGCACACAGAAAGTGAAACCCAACTTAACCATGAAAAGACAGGCAGCACCAAACCACAGGAAAAGAAAAAGCAA